CTTTTCCCGGGCGGACTCTTGACGCATAGGCATCGGTTGAGCGGCCGACATCTCCCAGCGTCGCAGGTTGCCGTCTTATTTCTTTCTTGCACATCTTTGCTGGGCTCGCGCGCACCTCCACTCATTTTGTCCCTTGTGTCCAGCGCACCTGTCCTGGACCCATCTACCGTTGCGCCTCGCGTCTCTGGCCCCCGACCGATCCTCTCTTTCGTTCCCAATAACTCTGGTGCCCGTCTGGCCTGCTGTTGCCACATGTTGGTATCGCAATGAGCTCCGACTACACTTACGGTACGTAGGGGCATGGCTTGGAGGCGATGGCGTCGCGCGTGGTTGCTCTGCTATGTAGCTCCGCTAACCATTGTTTCCAGATGCCGAGGGCAACCTCTGGCCCTTCTTCGCCTTCACCGTCACGTCGATTGCTACGCTTCCATTGACCTACGTCCTGACCAAGAGCTGGTTCAGCGACCCCTCCAAGCAGTTCCCCCGGATCCAGTCCGACTACAAGCCCAAGCATGCCGACATCATTAACGCGCAGCGTGCCAAGCACAGCAAGCAGAGTCGCAGACCAGTGCTAACGCTCTTTGTGCTCATCGGCTGGGCCATCATGGTCTACACGGCCTATCTCATCTACTACGTCGAAGTGCCGGTTGAGAAGCGGATCTGGAATCCATATGATATCCTGGGTATCTCAGAGGTATGCGCCACTGCGTCAAGACAAGTGCTCACTGCTGCCTCCTTCCAGTGCTGACCATGTTGTGTTTGTGTCTTGTTTATCTAGTCCGCCACCGAAAAGGTCATTAAGCGCACATACAAGAAGCTGTCCCTCAAGTTCCACCCCGATAAAATCCGCCCCGATGCGTCCAAGAACGAGACCGTCGAGTCTTTGAACGCCCGCTATGTCGATATCTCCAAAGCGTACCAAGCCCTGACGGACGAGGAAGTGCGCAACAACTACATGCTCTACGGACACCCTGACGGCCGTCAAAGCACGCAAATCGGTATTGCGCTGCCCAAACTGATGATTTCGGACGGCAACGGCAAATATGTCGTGCTCATTTACTTTCTGCTCTTTGGCGTGCTCCTCCCATACTTGGTTGGCTCCTGGTGGTACGGCACTCAAGCCCGCTCAAAGGAGGGCGTCTTGCTCGAAAGTGCAAACAGCCTGTTCAAGGAATACAAGCAGGACATTGATGTTGGCGGTGTCATCACGGCGCTGAGCACGGGCAAAGAGTTCTCCGCGGTGCTCAATGGCGACAAAGCGGACGCTGGGCTCTCCAAAATTGAGTCGCGCATTCTGGCTCCCGGCGAGGTGCAGACCTTTGCGGGCGGTCTGTCCGTCAAGGACAAGGAAAAGCTGGAGGATCTTGACAATGGCGTGCGCAGAAAGACGCTTGCTTTGCTTTGGGCCTACCTCGGACGTGTTGAGCTGGACGATGCCACGCTGGAGAAGCAGAAGTTCGAAGTGGCCGCCATTGCCGAGTCACTGATGAAGTCCCTGAACGCCATCACTACGGCCTATCAGATCACGGGACCCATGCTTGCAGGCTTCCAGGCTGGTCAGCGAATTATCCAGGCACTGGCTCCCGAAGCGTCTCCTCTTCTTCAGCTTCCTCACATTACCCCAGCCATCGCCAAGGCTATTGACGGCGACTCCAAGATTCCCACCACTGTGCAACGACTGATGGATCAGCCAGAGGCCAAACGTCACAAACTCGCAGTCGGACCCGGCCTTCTCACCGAGCAGCAATACCAGACAGCGGTCAATGTCGCCAAGCAACTTCCCTATTTCCGTGTCGCAAAGGCTTTCTTCAAGGTTCAAGGCGAGCGATTCATCATTCCTTCGTCTTTGGTGCAGCTCGTGGTCAAGGGGCGCGTGATTCCTCCTGGCTCAGAAAACATCCCTGAAGTCAATGAACTCGATCTCGACGACGTGGACCCTGCGGAAGATGACCTCGACGCTATCCTCGGACGCAAGAAGCGCACCGTCAAGGGAGTTGATGGCAAGACGGTCACAGTAGCAGACGACCAGCCCGTCGTGCCGCCATTAGCTTTTGCCCCTCACTTTGCGCGCGAGCACTCGCCCCGATGGCACGTCTTCCTGTCTGACTCGAAGCAAGGCAAGATGGCTGTACCACCTTTCACCTTCCACGCATTCGACCAACCCATCTTTGAAGCGGACGGCAAGACACCGACGTACAACATGGTTATGTTCAAGGCACAATTTGCTGCTCCGCCCAACCCTGGCCACTACACCTTCGTCATGCACGTTGTATGTGACAGCTACGTCGGTTTTGACACCAAGATGGAGGTGACGCTGGTGGTAGAGGATGCTGCCAAGGCTGCCAAGATGCAAGAGGAGGATGAAATCAGCGAGCCAGACGAGGGTAAGCCCCGTTGTTTCCCAAGATGAACTTGTCCTGTAAGAATGACAAGCACTAATACTCCTTCACAGACTCGATAGCCGGTATCATGAACGCAGCCAAGGGCAACGCACCCCCACCACCAAAGAGAAAACAGGCCGCAGCCAAGAACGACGACTCAGAGGAGGAGAGTGGAACAGAAGAGGAAGAGGACGATACGAGCGCAACGAATACAGATACAGATGGTGAGGACTGAAGAGAAAGTGTATAAAACGGGAGTTGTGTTATTTTTGGCAAAGACGTCTGCTGCGAGCAAATTGATTATACAGATTCCAAAGCGGATCTGGAGGGTCAATACATGAGATTAGAGTGCTCAGCGGAAGAAGAAATACAATATTGGCTTAATCACCGCACTGAGCTTGCTTTTGGCCGTTAGGAGTTGAACAAAGTCTTTTGGAACTGGAGCGGAGTATTTGCCGCTTGTGTTGATTGGTGGCAAAATGTCTTCTTATATGTCGAGAACTTTGTTAATTGTTGGTATTAGCAGCAAGACTTGTACTCGAGGCTACCTAGCTATGTACCACAGCAACATAGCTCACCATTTCCGTTGCTTACCATCTAAATTCTCAGGCTGCCCTTGGGTCCCCGACTCTCCTGGTCACTCGCCATATCCAGATCCAGATCCAAATCAAGATCTCCATCCTCATCCCGATCCAGCGCAGCCTCCATCTCAAACGAGCGCCCAAAACACGCATTATACCGCTCAAACGCCGTCTCCACCAGCCTACCCACTTCCTTCCGATCGCGCCCAATGACCCCCATGGCCAACAACGCATCCGTCTCCTCAATCCACGCGCGCAACTGCCCGAAATCCGCCTCGTTCCGGCCCAGCTTCTCAGCGACGTTCTTCCCCTTGAGCAGCGCCAAGACACCCGCCACGGCCGTGTTAATGGCGCCCAGCGCGGTGATGGTCCCTGGGTACGTGGCGGCTTTCATGCCTAGGCAAGTAAGGGTTGCGCCGAGCACGATTTGCACGCCGTGACAGGTCCAGACGAGCCCGGCGACAGCGTGGTGGAGGTGCTTGGTGCGTTGTTGGTGGAGGAGAATGGTGCGATAGATTCCAGTTGCAGTGGGAGGGGGGAATGTGGTGTTGGTTGGCAGTGATGGCAGTGGCGCTGCTGGACTGATACCATTGTCGGGCCGCTCAGAAGAAGGACTGCTGCTATTTCCTAAGCCACAGTTGATCCCCACTGCGCGCCGAAACATGAGCAGGTGCTCATCATTGTTGCCGCGCGAAGGACCGCCTAGAGGGTCTGACCAGAGAGCATCGTAGCCTATGATTCCTGAAGGAGAACTGACGGTTGGAGTTGTGACGTGTGTCGTGGTCCCATCGTGGTCGAAAAGCAGGTATTTGGTATCGTTTCTTGGCGGTGGTGGTGAGGGTAGTGGTGATGATGGTGCAAAGGGCGAGGAGTAGCCTTGCATTTCTGGACTGGGGCTCCTGCTGTTGTTGCTTGGCTGTGTGTTGAGATATCGATGATGTTGTGACTGTTCAGTTTCACCAAGCAGTGGTGTACCTGCGTCGTCGAATGGGAAGTGGAGGATCTTGGTCCAGGAGGGCATGACGGACTGGATTCTGAATATACTGTTCCGAAGCTATGTTCGAATATGCTTGGTTGCGATAGCCGCTTTGTTCGAGACGAATGCGAATTGCCAGATCTGTTGGTGTGAAGTTGGCTGCAATAATGTAGAGCAACTGTGATGATTGGAAATTAATCACGGACAATAGATTCCTAAAGGGAAGAGGAGTAGAAGAACTGCTAGCCACATCTCATCATCAAGTGCCGAACAGGATCCAGATATATTATAGACTGTAGATAGTTGAGAACATGCCCAGATTCCACTTAGTCCCTGGTCCAGTGATAGTCACAACCCCTACGCGCCATGTCTCGTGATGGTGGTGGATGGGTTCATGTTGTTTCCAGCAGGGCCGGCCCGCCTGCTGCAAGTGATTAGCTTGACCAACCCAAGTGACCAGTATGTGACATCAGCCGCCCCGGGCCGTCTGACTATAGAAAGCGTCCCTTTTGGACTTTTGGTTTGGAGGTGATGTGATGAGGTCGTCTGGGTAGGCGAGTGCCTCTCTTTGGGTACGAAACGGATATCTGGTGCCTGTTGTTTTAGCACTTGTGGTTGTGCGTTCGAACCTGTGATGAAAGGGGCGGGGGTCACGCGCTCCCTCTGTGTGGTTGTGTTCTCGTCATGTTTGAGTCAGCCACAACTCGACTAAGAGGGTTCTTGCGACGGACATACTGTCTGCAGAAGGATTAAAAGAGTAAATGCTAGGTTTCCCTGCTGCCAAACTGATTTCTGCTGTTGGTAGTACCGAGGAGTTTCTTTGCGATAGGAAGTTGGGATTGTCTGAGGGTATGTATACGTGGGCGGGCCTTAGTATACGGAGGCATCATGTCAAGCAGCACTTCGGCAGGCAGCAACAAATTGATGGTGAATACAATCAGCACCCTGTTGCACCGGAAATCATTCGTGAATCTACAAAGATATTCGATATGTAAAAAGACATGAAAACGAACAAGGTGAGGAACAAGATATGATATGGTATACGCAACAACGGCCAAAAAACGATCCCGACGGGATTCGAACCCGCAATCTTCAGAGAGACTTCTTCAACCGAAATCTGACGCCTTACCATTAGGCCACGGAACCAGCTGATAGATAATTTTAACTTATAGAAATTATATAGCCATATTTCGCTCACTGGCTTGGCTCAACTTCACCCCGAGACAATTGCCTAGATATCTCGTTGGATATTACATGTTGGAATACAAGATGGTAAAACTAGTTAACATATAGTATCATCCTAAGCAGTGGTATATTATAATTCACACTGTAAGCTTATTAAAAGGCGATGAAGCACCCATCACTGATTCGTCCTGGTCCCCAACTTAGTAGTTGGTCTCGCTGTCCAAGCCACCAGCAGCATCCCTCTTCTCCCGGCCCTTGGCCTCCAGCTTCTCATTGTTGAGCGCTGAGCCAGCCTTCTCAATCAGCTTGCCCAGCGTGCTATCCTTGCCCGTGTTTCCGCTTCCAGCTGCTGCACCGGTACTCCCAACGCCACTGCTACCGTAGCTGTCCTTGCCGGACCCGTACTCGCCACTCGTGTTACCACCACTGCCGTACGACGAAGACTCATTGCCAAAGGTATCCGCGCGATTGGAGCCTGCACCGTAGGAGCCTCCCGTACCAGTGCCCGTCTGCGAGTCCAAGCCCGTGTTGCCGCCAAAGTCTTCGCGGCGCGAGTTGTCAAAGTTGTTGCCGCCTACACCAGTTTCCGAGGTGCCGAAGTTGCTGTCGCCGCCGGCAGTGCGTCCGCCGCCAACCCCTGAACTGCCGAAGTCGTTATCACGTCCGCTGCTGCCCAGACCGGAGCTGCCAAACTCATTGTCGCGTCCACTGTTTCCCAGACCGGAGCTGCCAAACTCGTTGTCCCGCCCGCTGCCACCCAGGCCCGAGCTGCCAAACTCGCTGTCACGTCCACCACTGCCGAGGCCAGAGCCAATGTTGCTGCCGGCCTCGCCGCCCGAGGCAAAGTTGCCGCCGCCCGCACCGCCGGAGCTGAAGTTGCCTGCGCCCGCGCCGCCGGAACCAAACTCGCTGTCGCGCTGGTTGCCGCCGGAGGAGAGCGAGTCGGCGCCAAATTGGTTGCCGCTGCCTGTGGTGGAGCCTTGGTTGCCGAAGGAGTCGTTGCCAGTGCCAAAGTTGTCGCCGCGGCGCTCAGAGCCCTGTGTGAGATGGTGATTAGTACGTTGACTGACTTGAGATCATTACTCTGGTGTTTGTCAGGTGAGGTAAGGCGGTGTTCTTACGAAGCCCGAGTCGGTACCGCCCAAGTTAGACTATGAAAAGGTCAGTGTTGGTCACGAGAGTGAGGTATGTGACACTCAAGGTGAACTCACGTTGTCGTCGCGTCCGTAAGACATGGTGATGTTTGTGATGGAATTAGAATGGAAGGCCTATTGTGTAAGTGCCGTGCTCTGGTTTGCTGGTTATATCGCAGATGAAGTCGATGTGTTTGCTGCCGATCAACTTGACTTCGCACAACAGGAAGGGGAACTACTCCAAGATATATACACACTACGTCCACATATGTTCTTCGCTTTTCTGCGAGACTCTCTTATTCAACACCCTACGTCACTTGGCAGTCCTGCACGTTGTCTTGTCGCCCCGTCTGACATGGCAACCAGCCTAGGGCGGGGAGCACTTGGAGCCTGTTTCTTGTTCTTCTAGTTCATCTTAATCCGACGTCGACGTGTGTGTGTGTGTTCACAGTCTGAGATGCGTGTACAAAGGGAAATAGTACCGGTTCGGCCTATCAGCAACGACTCTCAGGGATTCACAACGGAGACCAAAGTGCCCTATACCATACACACCCACACATACACCGGGTTTCAGCTGTTTGGATCATTTTCCGTGTCAACGATGGCGACATTGGTACAAGCTTGTCCAATAATTTGCCGCCCCGTGATGCTTCTTGTCCAATGTACTTGGCGCAGCTCTTTTGCAAACTTGTGTCCATTCTTGCGCCATCCAGCCTCCGTTGGTTGGTGAACCCTGCAAGTGCTGCTTCACGATAGATTGTGTGCTACATCTCGACCAGGGCAAACGCTCATGCAGGACAAAGAGAGAGAATTCCCGTGTCAAAAAATATGTCGTCATAGGAGCAACATAAGCAAGATCGAGATGAGATGTCATATCATAATCTCTGGGTGTGGCCGCTCAGCCGCGCAATGGCACCGAGCATACTTGTAACTTGTGTGTGTTTTGCATGAATAGAGTTGATGGTGTTTTATGGCGATGCCAACTTGACGGGAAACCACGCCAAATGACGGCTGGAACCATGCACGTGCTGAGCCACCCCTGTTTTGAGACGTCTGCTTTTGCCAAGTTTTCCTCGAGAACGCTGTCATTCATGGGCTAGGAAGGCGGAGGCTAACGTGAAGCCATTGGCGCCGTTTTGTGCAACCACCATTCCAGGTTTCTCGTTACCCCGCGTTCAAGCCACAATTCAAAACCAAGGCGCCCGTGAACACATGTAGACGCGGAACGAGGCCGTTCATTATCGATAGCACTCGTGACGCGAGATTGCACAAGGCCTAGAAGATGCGACCGAAGCGGTCGTTTGCATTGTGGTTGTGCCATGGTATCACCAAGACAGCCGGCGATACGAGTCGTTTGACTCGGCCGAGGCGGTGAGGTGGCCAGGCTAGAGATCGCAGCCATAAAGGCTCAACAACAGCAGACAGAGTTCAGACTTGTCATTCCGTAAATAGCCTTTCGGATTCAGTAGGAAAGCGGCAAGACGGCGCTGAAAGCTGCTAGTAAAGCCGAGGCTTTCATGTAGTTCATGCAACCCGTTCTGTAAGCTTTCTCACGCGAGTAACTCGACGACCACCAACAAGTAGCTTGGGTAGTACAGCTTCCCATCGCCTTGCATGGTTGCACGTATGCTTTCGAACCTTTCAGCAGCCGGCAGAAGCCAGTTGGAAGCATGTTTTATTTGGTAAAGACACAATGTCGACGTTTCACAATTTGCTTGGTACGGTCTCGTCGACAAGAGCGCCGCTCATCACGAACGGGTCTTGAGCCGGCTGTCCTTTTGGCCCAAAAAGCACGAGCTCACGTCCGCCTTTAGTTCCCCACCACGCCACGCCAATGGCAGCTCGTTCGACGTCCATTTCTCCGCTGCCTAATAGCTCCCAGAACCGTTGCTTTGCAGCCTCTTTCAAGAACGGATCTGTTATCTCGTGCACACAAGATCCAACCACGGTCATCCACGCCTCTACAATGTTCAGGGCCAGCAATGGGAGGGCATCAATCAATGTGAGGACCAACGCACTCTGCTCAGACATTGGCTCCGAAGGACTGCTATCTTGTTCAGGCGCCGCAGGCAAGAGCTCATGGCGAGCAAATGGAATCCGTAAACGGACCATTTCTAACAGCGTCTCACCGAGGTCAGGTTGGGTTCCTGAGACCGGGAAGGGTGGAGATAGGATTTGCATCAGAGTGCTAAAGGCAAGTCGGAATTGTCGCGGCGAGATGTGTGATGGGAAGAATTCGAGAAGCGTGTCGGCGTAGAAGGGAGCCATCTTGATCGCAATGGGTCCATTTTGAGGGCAACAGAGAACGGAGAGGACGGCGGAGTGGGCAGCTTCAAATAGCTCCACTACACGTTTTGAATGCGGAGCATTGCCAGAAAGGTATGTTATTGCAGGCTGGATGATGAGCTCTTCGCAGGCGTCTGGCGATATATGCAAAGGAAGGTGCTCTGCTGTGTTGAGGTAGAAAAGGTCCAGTATTCTGTCAAGGGCATGCGTAGGTATCGAACTCGCGGCCGGTGGTAGTGTCTCTTTCAGGAAGGCAACGGTAGGCTCTGGGTATCTCGCCAGAATGTCAATCGAAGTAAGGTAAGAAAAGAGGTACACCTGAAAGCTGTTGTTACCTCTCGAGGAGATGAATGAGAGGTTGCGATACACGCGTAGTGTTTTGGCTGCCACCAGAGGAGCCACGGAATCGCGCTTCAAATGTGGGTCCAGTAGACTTCGAGCTGTAACAGCCCGCATGACAGCAATGACCGCAAAGAGGATGTTGGTGAGAATTCTCCATAATGTCTTGTAGGTGACTTGAAAGGTGCCTTCAGTGAGGAAGACGGCCTCGTCAGCACTGTCAATCCTGGAAAACTGGAGATGGCGCCAATGGTTGAGCAGCGACTTAGTGAAGGACACTAAGTCATCTTGAGCCTGGAGAACGATCCGATGGTCTCTTGTGCGCGAGACCGCAAAGGAGATCAGATTTGCGAGCGGCCCGGCGGACTGGACTAATGGCCTTGATGCCAGTCTCTGTATTGCCGCATAGGTCCCTGTCGCCTCTGGCCACTCAAGGAGGGAGCCGATTTGTTTGACATCAGAGCCAACAAGTCCCAGAAATAGTCCACCTTGAAACCCATCTGCGCCAAGCAAGGATTGCAAGGCCACAGATAGCAGCGCATCACAGTGAAAATCCTCCTTTGACAAGTCTGACAGCAAAGGGAAAGCCCAATTCAGTGCCAGCACGACGGCTGACCTTGCAAGGCGCGGCTCTTTATCAAGACTCTTCAGCGCTAGATTAGCAGCTGTCACAACGGCACTTTCAAGATTTCTCCTCATTGACGACGGTAAACCCCTCTTGCCATCGCCTTCAAAGCCCATCAGTATGCCAGCAAGCACGAGCACATGCTGCCAACGGCTGCTTCTCTCATCGGCGCCCTTGACCACTGCCTTGGCCCACTCGTCGCACGTAAGACCGCCGCCCGTAGGCGAACTCGTTCGAATTCCAAAGCCCAGAGCCAAGCGTCTATCCTCATTCTCGATCTCGGCACGACGCACGTGAATAGCGGCTGTGTTGAAGACGGAGAGCACGCGCTGGCAGATGCTCTCGAGAGGATCGAGGCCGGCGCTGGAGAGATCATGGTGCCATATTGCCGGTGCAGTAAGGAGTTGTGAGGTCAAGAGAGACAAGTTGAGAGGGTTGGTCAACTCGGTGAGCAGAGTCAACGTCGTGCCAAGGAGCCGCTCGCGCTGGCGCTCATCGTGAACTCGGGTCTGGTAGTCGGCAAGGACCTGGTTGAGGAGACTGTCGGCAGGCATGAAGGGCGACGTCACAACGGGTCG